GAATATATAAATGAAAATGATAAGTTGCACAAGTCTTTTGACCAAATGTTGTGGATATTCTGCAATCATTAGCTAGATAGGGGCAAACATCCAATGATTGCTGTGTAACCGACTTTTTCTGCTCTGTATACTTGATGTTAAACTGTTAATCATCTTTTTGAAATTTGTGTTTAGATCACAACTCTTTTCTGTAGTTATTATGAACCTTCTTCACTTTTGTTCAGTAATTTTATAGTGGAACGGCTGTTTTAAAACATCACCTTTTTTTTTTACCCTGGGACTTGACCGATCATAGTTGCATTTTATGTTATACTGTTGTTTATAGGGAATCATGCTCCTGTATCAAATGTGTGGTACTAAGTAGGCAAGAACTTAGTTTCAGGAAAACGTAAATATGCACTCAGTCTTAGACCTGTACTAATTTATTTTATATTACTCTATGAAATTGGTAAAACTCAAGACGCCCTTATGTTTTCATGTGTTTCTCCTGCACTGCTCTGTGTGTGTGTGTGTATTTTGTAATGCTAATGCTGTTTGTCATTTCTCCTGGCTATCCAGGAGTAAAAAACCTTTTGAGAAGTAACACACAGTCAACTGAACTAATGAATGTAGTTTTCCTTGATCTTTGCTTTGAAGTGAGGTTGCTCTTATTCTTTTTTTCATACCGGAAATTTGAAAATTTTAACAATATGTCTTTTGCCCAGTGCTTATAAGGGAAAAATCCTCAGTTATTTTAGTTTACATTTTGAAACCATCAAGCCTGATTTTGAAATATGCCACTAATATCTCCATTTTTGTGCAATAAATAGGTTCAGATTGATGGATTCATGGTTCTGGTGCAGCATATAATCAGATCATATATATGACTATGAATCTGACCATGAAATCGATTGTGAAATTGATTCTGATCCAGTCATTAAATTGAACAGAACATGCAATCTGATCTGATATCTCATCTCGCTAACTTGGAATAAAGAACAAAAGATAAAGAGAGCCATTGATATTGGATTGGATCCCATGACAATTTGGAATGCTGTTTTACAAATGTAGGGGATCCCCATCTTAGATACTAATGATTCAATATTTACCATGTTTTAAGAATTGACCATTCAAATATAAAAGATATATTTACCTGAACACATTCACACATATAATTCATGTATGATAATTAAGATGACCAAAAAGACGAGTGCAAACAATAAATTCCCAAAAAAAAAAAACAGATGATAATTAGTTAACCTGCATTTTCTTGGCCAATTCTAGCTTTTGTTTCCTACTCTCATCGTCATCGTACCCCTTCTTAAATTGAACCATCGTCCTCCTCTGCAGTTCTGGTAGCGGGATAAAGGGAGCGTTCTGAGATTTAAAAATATATTTATTAGTTTTATTTATCAAATATTCTATGAAGCAGAGAGAATATATATAGAAGATTAAAAGACTTTATTTACCGTTGTCCTACAAAATTGATCCTCAATCTGGGCAAATGAAGTAGTCCCCGTATGATGATCATAATCTTTCTTCCATCGATTTTGTTTATTTCTCTGATATTTTTTCTTCAACATGAACAAAGAGAAGTTTAGTACAAGCTATAATATACAATGAAATATATCACTAGTTTCAGATAAATAACTTGATGATAATTAACTACTATACATATTTACCCGGTGCTCCTCTTGGCCCCACAATACTATAAGTGCAGCTAAGTGCTCAGGCTCAACCCTCTTATCTCGTTTGTATATCCTCTCCCAGTTGTGAGTGAAATAATCAACGCATTTCTTCTTTAACTCATGTCTCCACTCCCTAAGAGAATGCTTGAACTTTCCCGTGTATCCAAATAAAAATTTCCACCCTACGGGATTGTCTTCGATGTTGAAATATATCTAAAAATTAAAATATAGTTAAGCATGGACAATAATTGACAGAATTGAAAAAAAATTGTGCTAAATAGAAGTATTTACCCAACAATCTTGATATATACTATCCAGGACATGAAATGGCTGCTCCTCAGCCTCGTAATAAGGATTCACATTATCACTCCTCCGTATCAAGCATCCAAGGTATGAGCTAAAGTTATTAGCCCATTGTTCGGTTGGAATCCCATTGTGTCCCCATCTCACAATTGTGCGAAAACCATCCGGGGATAACTTCTTTTTAAAGTCACTTCCTTGGCGTCCTTTTTTCTGGTAAAGTTTTTCTCCTACAACAACAAAAAAATAGATATATTAATACTTTTATTTAATCCCTCTTAAGCTCTTAGAATTTACCAAAAAAGGAAGAAGAAAAATATTAAGGAAAAGAGAAACCTGAGAATATTATGTTTATTAGATCTAACTCAGAATGAAATTTTTTGATCTAACTCACCAAATCTTTGTCTGATTTCATTTTTTGCATCAGATAAAATCTCATTAATCTGTGGGCCCCATTCATCCAATCGTTTTTTAGCAAGCATGTATTTTTCTGTATGCTTGAGTCTGTACCCATCTGCACATGCTGGTAAAGGCCCGCGCTCAATCCCGGTAATATATGCTCGAAGGATCACTGGAGGATCTGCATATAATGGTACGGTAATGGGCTCTTCCTCACCCTCACCTAAAAGAAATAAATTATCATTGTGCATATATCATGAATAAAAATACTGAAGTTAAACTAAGATATACCTGACATCTCTCCTGAACTCGGTGGCTCTTCCTCGGTGGATTGGTCTTGACTGGGGTTAGCTTCGAATAACCTCCTGTTAATGTTTTTAGACATCTGCAAGTTGAATAAACATACAAATTAATATATTATAGATGCAATTTGGCTTGGCGAAAATAAAAACAATATGTATTGTTGCGTTACTAAAATTTTCATTTCACATCAAGTTTGTAGGCATCTGCAAGCTGAATATACAAAATAAGATATTACATATTTATATCGTCCAAAAGGTAATTGAGATACATCGTAGTGATATTAAAGTTTCATTTTACAATTTGCAAACTAAAAAAAGTTACATGAAGACCCGATTACAAATAATTGTTGTTTAGCTCCTATTAATGTCTGTGACAATATTTGGAATGTCTGTCCGAGTTGTTGGAGCATCCATATCAAACACTACGTTTTGAGGGTACGAGAATTCATCGATCGCTGCATTTGGCTCATTGAAGTTGTTTATATAGCTCTCGTCATCATCTTCATTGATAGAAGGTTGAATATAAGCCATAGAATCCTTGTTCAGGACAACCCACTCGTCTTTAACCGCAAGATCTTTCACATAGAAACATTGTCCCACCTGAGATGCAAACCTGAATTTTTCATCACTATCAATTTTTTTATCGAGATTGACAATTGTAAATCCAAAGGGATCCTTTTGAGTCTTTGCAAAACACCAACGAATCACGAACATCATGTATTTATGTTCATTTGGACCACCATAGCCGTAGAATATCTCCACCACATCTTCCAACCTCCACCATAGCCGTAGAATATCTCCACCACATCTTCCAACCTTCCATAATATGTTATATGATTTTCAACAGGATTCTGATCTCTTCTGTTTGAGAAACATTCCCGTGAGAAGGTAGCCATGACATCACTATTCTGGGTGACCTTCGTATCATCAACCTCTATTGTGTGAAATTTATAACCGTTAACACGATACCCACCATATTGACATACAGTATAATAAGGCCGCTTCGCGTGAACCTTCACATCTTCTGATATTTGATTATTAAGGACAAGTTGTTCCTGGATCTAAATATAAAAAATAAGAAAACTATTAAATCAATAATTTCTAAGTTTTTTTATCAAAAACATACAAATATTGCTAAATTTAATAATACTTACTTCATTCTTCAACCAAGCAGGGAATTCCTTCATATGCCTTTCTTTAATATCATGTACAGCTATACTACCGGTAACTTCATTCTTAAGTTTTTCCTGATGTTGCCTATTAATGCAATAAATTTATTTATTATTGTCAAAATAAATATTAAAGATTAAATGGTATTCAAAACTCTTTTTAGATATTTTACCTCCGGTAATCCGAGAAGATTTCAAGATTATTTACTACGTATGCATGCGCTTGATCTAGCAATATGTTAGAATAATTTTTGTTCAGCCCGCGAGGATAGAGAACTGTGTTATCCTTATTATCAACAGGTGCTTGAAATTCAGTTTGTTCCCCTCTCATATAACGAGAGGCAAATAAGAGACACTCAGTTCTCACGTAACTTTTAGGTATTGAACCTTCTGGTCGAGCTCTATTCCGCAATTGGCGCTTCATTGAACCCAAATATCTAAAAATGTTAATTAATCAGATATATATATAAAAGATATTGACATTTAATAGATATAAATATTGATAGGTAACGATTAAAAATATCTAAATACTAACATCTCTATTGGATACATCCAACGATAATGGACTAGTCCGCCTATTGCAGCCTCCTCAGCGAGATGTTGTGTAAGATGAACCATTATTGTGAAAAAAGATGGAGGAAAGAACATCTCCATTTCACACATTGTTTCTGAAATAATTTCTCCAAGTTTCTCAAAGTCACGGTCGTCTATAACTTTAGAACAAAGATTTCTGAAAAATCCACAAAAATCAATAATAACCTTCACTGTTTTTTTATCCTGCATAGTACTGCGTAGTGCCACAGGTAGCAGTTGATGAAGAAGCACGTGATAATCATGAGTTTTAAGTCCTAATATTTTCCTTTCTTGCACCTGGACATTATTCGATATGTTTGCGGAATAACCCTCTGGTAACTTTATTGATTTGAGGACTTGACAAAATATTTGCATCTTAACTTTCGACATCGTAATACGAGACGCAGGCAATTCTAATCTGTCATTTCCGATAATTTTTGCCTGCAGTTCCTCTCTAATATTCAAAGCAGTTAGATCTTGACGAGCTCGTAGATCATCCTTTGATTTATTAGCATCTTGCAACAGTGTGGACAAAAGATTATCACAAATATTTTTTTCAATGTGCATAACGTCTAAGTTGTGACGTATTTTTAACTCTCTCCAATAGGGGAGTTGAAAAAAATGCTGAATTTTGTCCATCCTGAAGGCAATTTTACGACTTCAGCCCCATCACTCACCGCTTGTGCTTGTCTTTTTCGTTTTGGTATCCTTTTGTTAATACGCAAGTTCCTTACTCCAAGTAAATCTTCTTTCGAATAGCGCTTCTTTCCAAACCTGACAGCAGGGAACCTCTCAAGCAAATGTACAATCTGATCTCCACCTAATGGACGCGGAGCATCTCTCTTCTCAACAGTACCATCAAAAAACTTGCTCCATTTTTTTGTTCTGTACCTGTGTTTTATATTTAACCACCTTCTATTAAACCAATAACAAAACTTTCGACTGTGCTGCAGATAAAGACCTTTGAATTCTGGACCACGCACTGGACATGCATATGTTCCCTTTGTAGACCAACCTGAAAGATTCGCATAGGCTAGAAAATCATTAATTGTCCATAGTAAAATAGCACGTAGTCTGAAAGACTGCTTTGCATGAGTATCATATGTCATAACCCCTTCAGTCCAGAGTTGTTTTAACTCATCAATTAGCGGTTCTAAAAACACATCTATGTCATTGCCTGGTGCATGCTTGCCCGGTATCAATAATGAAAGTATCATATACGGTTGTTTCATGCAAAGCCAAGGCGGTAAGTTGTAAGGTGTTAATACAACAGGCCATGTAGACCAACCAGAACTCATTATCCCAAATGGATTGAATCCGTCGCTAGACAAACCTAGTCTAACATTCCTGCACTCATTGGCAAACGAAGGAAAAGTTCTATCCACATGCTTCCATGCCTCTGCATCGGCCGGATGTCTGATTTTACCATCATCAATACGTTCTTCCTTGTGCCACCTCATTTGCTTAGCAGTGTCTTTATTCATATACAGCCATTTTAGCCTTGGTATTAAGGGAAAATGACGCAGGACCTTTGCTGGAATCTTCTTTTGCTTAAACATAGACCTTGCTGTCCCATGTGTTGAATAATTTTTGCGTTGTACCCATCGTGATACTCCACAAATTGGACACTCCTGAAGATCTTTGTTATTTTTATAGTAGAGGATACAATCATTAGGGCATGCGTCGATTTTATTGTAATTAAGTCCTATAACGGAAACAATCTTCTTTGCGTTATCATAATTTTCTGGTATGCTCTCTTTTCCATTTGGAATGACTTTTCTCAGCAACACAAGCAACATATTAAAATATTTATCTACCATTCCACTAAGAGACTTTATACGCAAAAGACGCAGCATAAATGATAACCTGGTGAACTCGGTGCAACCCTCGTACAGATCATTTTCATTGTCGGCTATTAATTTCATTATCTGCGCCAGCTCCTCATGATCAGTCACGCCTCCAGCATTTCCTGACTCGTCAGCATCCTCGGCATAATCAGATTGATCTATATTAGGAACTGTTAACATATCCGCGAGCATCGTATGTGTATCATCTATTCTCGTATCATCTATTCTCGTATCATCTATTCTCCCACCGGAAGTACCGATATCCGCCATCAGTTCCATTTCTTCAAGACATCCTTCCCCATGAAACGTCCAATATTTGTACTCCTCATGAAATCCTGATATTAAGTGTTTCTGTAAATCACTTTTATCCACCAACGCCCTATTTTTACACCAACAGCAAGGACAATACACGACATTACTATTTAACTTCCGTGGGTCTGCCAAGGCGTACTGTATGAATTGATTTATTCCATCTTTATATCGATTATCCCTCCATCTATCAATACGAGGAATATCGATCCATGATTTGTCGGGAACTATCCTCATAGATATGTATGATATTAAGCATATTAGGTAATGTGAATTTTTATTAGTAACGCATCAAATTAAAGGTTGCGTGATATTAACTTTCTTCACGACATCAAGGAAATTTTAATTATAATATCGGAGGGAAAATTACCACCAGAACATAAATTATGTGGGAGTAAAATCTAACGCTCATATTTAAAATAAGACAATTTAACGGCTGTCATAGGAAATGGACCTATCCCATTAGGAATATAGTAGTGTCTACAACTACCTTCATCATCTTTATGCGTTTTTATTTCTTAAAAATTTCAGTAGCACCTACCCGCTGTTCTCCGAGTACACTATGCGGATGTTATAATGCGTATCAATCATCGATAATAGATCGATTATAGATCAAACGCAAAACAATATACGCTTATTGTACACGGAGAACAATGCGGTACGTGTTATCAAAATTTTTAAGGAATAAAAATGCATAAAGTATACAAAGATAGACGATACACTACTGTATTCCTAACCTGTACGAGAAGGGGACTCCTCCCCGGACAGATCTAATAATTATTGCAGTGTTTATATCATGCTCCTGAACATAAATCACGTTATTCTTTTTTAGAGTAAAAAGTATTTTCACATGCCAACTAAGAATTACATGAGTTTTATATAGAAGAGATTCACACTCAACATTATTAGACGGGAAAACTAAAGGGTAACGACTTTCAATTCATAAATCATGCTAAGTATGATAACACAATAAAAACTTGTAATGTATGTAACTAGGAGATCGAAAAAGATATATATTTCTTGAAAATTGGGTGTCTTCGCTCAGTGCGGTGATCTTTCCTCTTTTTTTTTGACAAAACTGGGCGTCGGGTCTTGCCAGATTGATTAACTAAGGAGAATTACTCAAGAGACATCGGATATAATCATTGAAAAATGCATAACAAAAGTTGATTCTCATTAAGAATTGCAGAGTTATATATTTCTTGAAACTGTTTAACACAAGCAACAATAAATAGATGCACGTTTTAGGGGCTTGTTTGATTTAGACTCAAAAATAGCTTGAAAATTATTAGCCTACCCAAATTAGTTTAGAAATACTTATTGTATGATGAGATGAGCACCCCCTGCCTAATTTCCTTTGTCCGAGGTCCATAAGATGGCCTACTCGGCTTTAAATAGTTTTGCATACATTTAAAACCCGATCAATGTAATATCAATGCCTATTTTTTGTCAACTGCGAAAAATCAAACAGAAGACCAAAAGATTACCGGCTGCGCATCTAACTGCAATCCAAGAAAATGTAAGCCTCTTCTTGGACCTCCTTGCAATGCAATCCAAGAAAATTCAAATGTTCAGGATAAGAAACAACAACGAAAACCTAAAATCAGCAACAAAATTGTTTTAAAAAATTTGAAGAAAAAAACAAGCGAATCATACGGGCCGGAATCGACGATGAAGGTATTGACAGAGACCTCAGGCCGAACCCTGCTGGTTCGACGTCAGCGCTAGCAACTCGGGGGTGCGTACAGCGTGCGCGAGCTCCAAGGTCGATGGTGAGCTCGGTTCCACGGCCGGTGGAGTCGAAGAGGGGGAGGGGAAGGTGATGGCTCGGGCAAGGCCGGCCTCGAGGGCGAGGAGATCGCCGGCGTCGAGCCGAAAAACTGAGAGTGGGGAAGTCGTTCGCTGAGCTGAGCGGCGGCGATGAAAACTTAGGGTTTTTCTCCGATGAAAATTACAACGCGACTTTATATAACTCACATCGCTGACGGGAATCCCGTCAGTGATGTTTTCATCGCTGACGGCAGAGAAGAAACGCTGACCGCAACGTCGTTGATGGGAATTCCCGTCAGTGATATAAACAACGCTAACGGGAATTTCCCATCAGCGATGTTGTCGTCAGCAATAGTCCTATTTCCACTAGTGTCATGTTTTTATTTCATCACGCATTCATAATTACGTTGGTAGTATATGAAATAATTAAGAAAATTGACTAATTTGTACGTAAATCCTAACACGTATAATTTAAGGGTTTAATTTGTGTTGTAATGATCTTTGTTAAATAACTATCAAGTTTATAATCATTCCTATGTTCCATGTTAATTAGAACGAGTTTTGTTTGAGATATACCGCAAAAAAAAACATCGAAACAACAAACTAAAAGTCGACTAAGTTGACTTGCCATAAGTCGACTTATGCCAGACATAAGTCCACTTATGGGCAAAATTCTAGACCGTTTCTAGTTTGCGTTTGCACTATTTTAAGACGCGTTCGAGGGGTTCGAGCCGTACTTTTATACATGTTTATTCACGAATATATAAGTACAGTGTTGTTAGACATACATGAGTATCCCGAAGAGGAGTATGACATGTTTTATTCTGCTTATATTGGAATTAGAGATTGTTAATTCATAGCTCAGTACTACTTGGGGTAGTACGCTGATATACTTATTGTACAGGCAATTGAGTCAGATTTTTGGAGGCTTGATTTAGCAGTCCGTCCCGCACTAGGGTGCGATGAGGCTCGTGAGCCATATTTCTAGGATGCCTATTTGGTAGTCCGTCTTGCACTCATGTTACGCACTGAGTTATGATAAGACTAGTGAACCATATTTCTAGGATGCCTATTTGGTAGTCCGTCCTGTACTCATGTTACGCACTGAGTTGCGATGAGACTAGTGAGCCGAGTATACAGTTAGGATGCCGACTAGGTAGTATGTCCCGCATGATACTATGATGAATCATAACTTGCATGGATTTACATGGTGACGATTTCTTGATAGCCTGAGTCCATGGCGGATGCCAGTTATGCATAAGACTCATAGCTGAGATATAATACCGAGATACTTTGCTCTTGAAAGTATACAAGATTATATGTTGGTATTTATTCTATCTCCCCGGTGATAGTGGAAGATATTATAAATATGATGTATTATTGTCTTTATTTTTTTTACTATTTTCTTTATTTCTTAGTTTGAGGTCAATAATTAGCGATTCACAATTTGAGACATATGGTATATACATGAGGGTTTCCTTGTTTGGATTATTTTGCTCGATGTATTATGTCTCGTGTTGTGGATTTCTAGTTATTGATTTCATTTAGATTATTTATCTCTAATTGGTATTAATGTTTAGGCATCTATAATTTGAGACATATGGTATATACATGAGGGTTTCCTTGTTTGGATTATTTCGCTTGACGTACTACGTCTCGTGTTGTAGATTTCTAAATATTAATTCTACTTAGATACAGAGAAAAATGATCTAGGTAGACTATGCTTAATAGATAGAGCATAACACAAGGGTAAAATAAACAATCTACACAAGTGATAGGGTAATATGATGAGCAATACACAAAGGCGATATAAGATATGAAAACAAGAATAAGAACGCCAATGCAATCACAAACAAAACGATATGATCACGGAGTTCGGTCTAACCACTTGACCTACGTCTCCGCTCCTCACCTCGAGGAGATCTCCACTATCACAACCGGGTTTTCTACGTTCACCCGAACAACGTTTACACCTCACAATACAATCACTATGTAATCACACCTCACACACTAAGTGTTGGTCCTAGCCCGTGTCCTCCTCCTCAAGTGCTCGGTTACAACCTCTCCCTAGGCACGTCAACCGACGCTACTCCTCTTGGATTCGACCCCATCTCTCACCACACACTTCTCTCGGTGTACGAGTGTATTACAAGTGAATCCTCACAATTAGGCTCAATACAAAGTGTTTGTTCTCTACAATGAATGAGAACGAATTATAAGCTCACTCTCTAAGTTACACAATCCCACAACCCAATTATACTATGAATGTAAATACAATAAGCTCAATGGTTGTGTGTGTACAAAGAGATAAATAAAATCAACTAAACTAAACTCAATATAAATCTAGCTTATGGAAATTATAATCAAAATAATAAATTGCTAGATGAGTTTAGAAACACTTCTCTAAAGATGACAAGAGAGTGGGAGAAGAGTGAATGCTCAAACACCAAAGGATGATCTCCACTTGCTCTTGTGAAATTTGCTTCACAAACAAAACTCTTAAACACTCTTTTAAACAAACACAAAACACCCTTAAACTTGTTGAAACAATTCTCTTAGTTAGGTTGAAAGAGAACATGAGAGCAGCAATAGGGTATATATACCCACTTGAAATCTCAGTCAAGAAGCCCAAATAAAAGACAAAAACAGCCCCAGCAAACAGCTCAGAGAAATAGCCGTTGAAGTCCAACGGATCTATTGTCGGTCGACCGGAAATTTTGTCGGTCGACCGACGGAGAGCAAAACACGAAGAAGCAGTTCTGGACCATCGTCGGTCGACCGGTGCGGTCGACCGATGGAGCTTTCGGTCGACCAGACCGGTCGACCGACAGACTTTCTGTTGCCCAGTGATGAAAGATCAAATGATCGGTCGACCGGTTCGGTCGACCGAAATCTGATACATAAAAAATCTGATCTGCTGATTTTAAAAAGCTATTTAAAAATATCAAATAAATTCTAAAAAATATAAAACTTTGGGGAATGATTGTAGACATGATAATAAACATGCTACAGTGACTGGTTATCAGAAAAGACCTCCCAAATAAAAAATATCATCATTTTACAAAATAGTCCAAAACATAAAAATATGAGATACTTGAATTTTGATGTTTTGACATAAACCAACTTTTGAAACTTTGTGAAATAATTTTATAGACTTAGTAAAACATGTATAAACTGATATTAAAGTCTATAAACTAATAAGACAATATTTTCACAGGATTACATATTCTATGCTATAAGTACTAAAACACAATAGAGTATGTAATATCATAAAAATCAAAACACATAAGCTTGATCTTGATCTTCATTGAGCTCAACTTGGTACACGTTGCGGATGAAGCTAAACTTGGATCTTGAACTTGAATTGTACGATGCTTCACTCCACAATTCCGCCAACCTCCTCTTGATATGATCATGTAGGCTTAATCCATCTAACCTCCAACAACGTTGTTTGTCTATAATACATA